GCAACAATTATCTGTTTAACTATGTTAGTATAGAAACTTACAGTTATTGGGGAGGGAATGCAGCAAACACAATATTTTGAACTGACAAATCTTTTATACAGGTTTTAAATTTTATTTGGCTCTATGTTTTCTTAAGAAAAAAATATCTTTTAAAATGTTTTATATCCGAATATCAATTTATTATGTATTTAGTTAATTCTGGTAATTTATGCTCAAGTTGAATATTTTGCATTTTCTTATTATGCCTTAGATCTAAATCAAGAGATATAAATAAATTATATGTGTGCGCACATACATGAATGCAAGAAAGAGGCAGTCAGCAACCACTAGAGCAGGGGTGCCAAACTCGGGGCCTGCGGGCCGGATCCATCACCTGCTGGCCCCGGCCCCCACCGGTGTAGTAAAGGGAGTCCTGATATGTCATGTGATGCCGCCATGATGATGCAACTTTGACACGCCTGCACTAGAGTATATTTCTTATATAGAAAATAAAAAAAATGTACACAGTATTCTCAGAGAACATAATATATGAATCCTGAAAAGAAAATTAAATGCAATACTTGGATCAACATCTACTTCTCTGATAAAAATATGCAGTTTGATTTGGGATTAAATAATACCTATACTTATGCTAATAATGAATCAATGACCAATTTTCCTAATATGCCAGCAATGCATTTCACAACAAGATCAACCTGTGACTCATTAGCGGTGATTGGTTAACTACTAGGATTTTGAAAAAGCCTCTTGGTTTGCTTCCTGTCTGAGAATGCAAAAATTTGGGATTTGCCAGGCACTTTTCAAGCCACAATAGTTGTCTGCTGGGCTGCATTCAAGTTCTGAAGGTATGTCAAATATAAATATGCAGGTATATCTGTTGTGTAATAACATGCATCATAATTTTAGCAGTACTATACATAGAATTAAGTCTCTTTGTTTTCAGTCGGCCTTCTTCCAAGTTTTAAGATATCTTGTAAACACCCGGTTTTCATTCACAGCATAAGATTGTGAATGATCTTATTCAGGGTTAATTGTGGAACTTTAATGTCAGTTTAGAAACTTGGGAGACCCAGGGTTCTAGTCCTGCCTTAAGCAAAAGCCACTGGGTGACCTTGGAGTAGTCACTTTTTCTCAACCCTAGAAAGAAAGCAATAGCAAACCACTTCTGAAAAGCTTTGCCAGGAAAACTGCAAGAGATTTGTCCAGGCACTCTGCAAGAATCTGATGATTGAATGGAAGGAAAACCCCTAGGGAGGCATTGTGCTAAAAATGCATTTTGATAATTTAGATTAATTAGCTTGGAAAAGTAGTTTTCAAAACTGTATACTTTCAAATAAACATTTTAGCAAATTTGGCACAATCATTTCAAAATCCAGATGATTCTGAGATATGTTCTGAGGATGTAATATTCAAGTACTACTATTTCCTTCATTCCACTAAGCTGTGACCTAAAGCTTTGTAGAAGAAGATCAGTAGAAGTGGGTGAAGTTGTCATTCAGAAAAGATCACCTAATTTACACATATTCCCATTGAGGAAACTCTCAGGGATCTTCAGAAAATGGTTGTAAACCATAGTTTCATTATATACTTTCCATTTATATCTTGCCTGAGCATTGTACTACCTTTAAAAATTGCACTGAATCATCCCTATACTAATAAGAAAGGAAGTTCCCCCCCTCTACTAAACTGAACAGTTGAGAACTTATTATAAAGATAAGAAAGGTTTGATTTTAGTACGATTCGTCCTATCATTACAGAGAAGTACTGTAAAACTAGCCTGGGCGCAGTGGAATGTTGTAACCTGACTGCAGATAATTTTATTGAAAGTAGTACTTCTATTATATTATAAAGTGAACTATTTCTTTTCTTTTTTACAAGTAAATCACATTCAGTGCCTAATAGTGCATTGCATTCAGTCTGCTCATGTTCTTCCTATCTGATTGCATCTTCCACTGAATTTTCAGCACTGGACATTTTAAAATCTCACAAAAAACAGTCGGAACTAAAATAAAAACTTTGGAATACAGTGGAAATAATTACTATCCCAGAAAGCCAATGAGTATTTCAACAGAGAATAAGAATTCTTTACAATACAAATTGCTCTTCTTTGCCAAGTAGCATGACCTCTGTCATCTAATCTGGGTGGGATTTATTTACTGCTACTGTTCAGCTAGTCTGAATTAATAGTGGATTCCTAGGATTATGTTTTTAATACCATTCAGATAAACAACTATTGTTTACAAGATTTTAATGTACTGCTATAGATCTAGAATAAAATAAAATGTAGTATGCTGCTAACCCCAGCCTAGCAGGAGATTTTCTACCCACACAAAAATGAACATGATACAGTATACTGTATTAGTACATTGCAAAACTTGTAAGGCATTAATTTTGTGATGAAATAAAACAATCATCACTTGAAGTCAAGAAACTTGTTCTCATTTTTAATATAGCGTTATTAAATAAATAAGCCTTGTAAAAAATAAAACCAACTAAGAATAAACTACTTATTCATAGCTAAGCATGTACAGGTATACTAGTATACTAAAAGTTGCATCTTTTGGCATTTAAATAATTCATAAAACCTTTTACAAAATCCCTCTTCGAAACCTTTGAAGATATGTGTTGTCATGGTTTATGAGTTGGCTTACAAGATAGGAAAACAAGACTAAGAATTAATGAGCAATTTTCACCTTGAAGTGATACGTAAAGTGGGTTCAATATTAATCAACATTGCTTAAAAAATGATCTACATCAATGGCCAAGATTGTAAATGAATCAATAGTATGATCAAGATTGTCAATGATAAGCTGCAAATAAAGTATTATTTAATGTAAACAAGTGGAAAATAATGTATATGAATTCTAAAAATTCAAACTTTACACATACATTAGTAGTATAGAAGCTGGCTTGTCAGGAAGGGAATCTTAAGATGAAAAGTTCCATGATACATTAGCCTGGTTTGTGACTGCTAAAAAGATATATTCCATGTCTGGAGTCCTTAGGGTGGAAATTGCTGGAAAATGTGCAGAAAAAGAACTGCCAAAGCAGCTAAGGATCTAGAGTAATTTCTTGGAATATTTTTTTTAAGTTTATGTGAAAATAGGTAAGGGAAGATTTGATAGAAGTATATGAATATAGTATAGAAAATAGGGATAGAGGTGTTTTTTTCTTCCTTTCTCACTGTTAAACCTCAGAGATATCCTCTGATTAGATAAACAGTATATAAACAGATATACTTCAGCAATTTAGGGAGTTTTACAAGGGGACTGATGAATATATGGAGAACCGGTCTTTTAATGATCACCAGTTTGGATGACTGTAAATTATCTTTTAGAGCATACTCTAAAGTTTCTAAGACACAAAAGTGGAAGAGGACAACTATACCTACATCTGGTTAGTCACTATGTGACAATAGTGAAGTAGAAGAGTTGTTGGCCTTATCCAACAACTGAAATTTACTCTAGATGACAGTGGAATGTTTTTGGTCCAGAGATGTACAGATTCTAGAAGGACTTCAATCTGCTTTAAATGGGGAGGTGATCTCCTGTAAGAATCAGGTTCATGATTTAAAGATGCCCCAATGATGTTGTGTACACACTTACAGATCACACTATATACTTGCAAGGGCTATATCATTTTTTCATTTTGAATTCTAATCAGAATTCAAGGCATTAGTGTTGCAAAGGCTTAGAATTCTTTGAAGATCAAAATCTGATAGAGAAGCACTTCTCCTCATTTCAACAGTGGTTGAGTAGTGTATGAGGTGACCTCACCTTCACAGTGGAAAATGTTATCCTGAGAAGATATAAATTTACATCCTTTTTAATAACTCCTTTTCCATTTTTATATTTTAAAGTATTTATTATTGAGTTGTTTACTACAGGAGAATGTAGAAATATTGGAACTGCACCATATAAATCTCTATCTCTATCTCTCTACATACATACACACAAACAAACAAACAAACAGAAACACACATTTTTAAAAATCAGACATCCAGGTTATGGCAACCTTAGTTAAAACTTTTGTGCTCACTACAGAATGCCATGATGTAGGGCTGTAGGGGAATAATGTTGAGAAAACCAGGAATGCAGATTCCACCCCTGACATTCTAAATGAGCGCCCAACAAATAATATATGAATAGGCTACAGTGAAAGTTGATTGCCTGGGGTCCAAACAGCCTTCAAAATTTTTCAAAGAAAATATGTTTTCAGAACTTCAATTGATTAGATCTGCAAACAGATACAAGTTACACAAAAGGTAACTTTTAGATAGTTCTAAAACCAATTTTTCATAAGTAAGCTGTACAGTGGAAATAATGTAGTTTGGCTCTATTCAATAAGCTGCTTATAATTAAATGGAAGACAGTGAAATTATTATTATTATAATTTTAAACAACTACTTATTAAATTTATCTCCTTTTTTAATGAACTATCATTTTTTTAGAATTTCCTTCCTTCTGTACATAATATTTTAAACAATGAAATCCATTTTGGCTTGCAAACTGATAAAATGTCTATAACTTTAAGTGCTGTCTGATTCATAATTGTGGTTTATAATTGGACATTGGAATAATTTTATTTACTTATTAAATTTATATGCTACCTATCTTACTATTCAAAGTGACTCTTGGCACTGTACATTGCATATATGTGTTAAAGTAATATTTGAGGGAAATTACTATGCTATGCAAGTCATCCTAAATAAATATACCCCACTGGAGTAGTCAAATATATTTTATGAATATATGAACATTATCCCAAGGATGAACATTTTTTTTTAGATTTTAATATCATGTCTTTTAATTTTTATTTCAAATCAGAAAGAATAATCTAAAAGGTCCCAGTAATCAATGTTACAAAAATAAAAACTATCTTGGGTAATTTACATTTGTTTATGCTTTTATTTGGCAACATCCTTCTCCAGTTTGAAGCAACAGAAGACCTACAATCAGTGATTACCATGGTCTGTACAAGCCCATGGCTCTGTCTCTTACCTGTAATCTGACTCTGTCCTTGTGGATTAAAAGGGCTTGGTGCAGAGTTCAAGGGGGGCCGTGGGCTCTGAGTCGGGACCCCTACTCTCATACTGGAATGAGGAATGCGCCCTAAATCACTGAGACGTTCTGAGAACAAACTAGGTTTAGAGTCATCAAGCTTCTGTCTGTGCCCTGGAAACAGCAAATCATAAAATAAAAGGGTGGTTAGCATGACAAATACTATTAAAGTGCTTTGTTTATTATTGTGAGACCAAATAAAATTTAGATGTAATCTGCAGCTGGTGCAGGGACCAAAGTATGGACTATTTCACCCGCTATAGCATTGGTACAAGGAAGGCACTTGTATTGCTATCCAGGCATAGAACAAATCACTGCAGTCTCTATAGCAATTTATATCAGAGCAATACAATTGATTGTTTAAAAGCAGGATTTTCATAATATAAAGCTTTTCTTCAACGATTATGTCCTGACTGTCAAGCATCCATAGAAAGCACAGGCTAATAGTGAGGCCTCAGAAAAAAAATCTGTCACTTATTATAGTTGGAGGCATCTGGGGGCGAGGCTGCTGTGGAGTCAAAATATTAACATGGAGGCTATCTCTGCATGATTAAACTCTTCCCCCTTTTTCTATTTGCATATTACATTGCAAAGAGGTAAGAAAAGCACAATGCTTTGATTGGATAGTCACGGTTGCCATCTTGACTTTTTAAAATCTCATCTGTGGATTGTCCTCAATACAGCTGTTAATTTTCATATGACCTCTCAGTCTCATTTCGACTTTTAGTTTTCTGCTGTTGATTCTCATCTTTTCTGTTTCTATGTTCATGTAAATAAATCAGTCACTGACAGTTCAAAATTAATTTAATGGGAGTCTTCTTCAAAATTACTGTGTGTAAGACTCCAGGTTTATCTCTTTTATCCATTACTACATGGCAAGATACATTTAATATTTCCCTCTTAGAATTCATTGGCCTCAACACCTGTACTGAGGTTTCCCATATGGTAAACTGAGCTGAGCAAATGCAGCTGATTCATTTCAACCATTCTATTTTCTATTCTCCCCTGGATGTGTTAAAATAACATTTTAGCTTTTATTTTTATTTTGGATAGTTGTTAAACACCATAGTAATATATCAGATTTAAGAAGTGTCAAATCAGATGTTCAACATGTTATCATTTATCCTTAACTGGTGCAGGTATTCGTCTATTAAGGATTACTGTCAATTAGGAACCAGTATTGTTACATTCTTAATCAACTTTGAGTTGCCCCTCTTCCCTCCCACACCATCTTTCTGACAGAAATCCAACCATTTGCAAATATTCATCATATTTAATTGTAACTTGGTTTTCGTGTGGGAATGAGGAAGTTTGCCTCTTCAGTTTGTTTTTTAATTGTATTTTGGCAAACAACAGGTTGTTCTTTGTGCTCCTTCATAAAAAAAACTTATTTTGCTGCATTTTAATTTGCAACCTTGCAACTTGAAATCACTTTTAGCAAAAGACTTCATTGAACCAAAGGTCTACCAAGTTCTCAATGGCCTTGATTCTCCCCACATGTACCTGAATGAAGTATGATTTTTCCATAGAGATTTTAATTTTATTTCCTGAATCATCAATTAAGCTATCCTGCAAAAAACAGCTAGTCCTTGATTACCGACTGCTTGCTCAGCAATTGTTCAAGTTATGACAATGCTGAAAAAAAAAGAGATTGACGACTAGTCCTTGAATTTGCGGCCATTGCACATCCCCCACAATCACATGATTGCAATTCGGATGCTTGGCAACCAGCACACATTTATGATGGACACATCATTCTGAGGTCACATAATCCACCATTTGAGACCTTCACAGCCAGCAGTCAATGAGGAAACTGGTAGGTAGTTACAAGTTGCAGTCACATAACATTGTGCTCAATGGCTGTGGGTGATTTGTTTCATGACCACAGTCAGTATTGATACTGTAAGTCTGGATAAACAATTGCATTGTTTATAGCAACTGTGTTGCGAGTCAGAATTATGGTCAGTAACTGCGGATTACCTGTACAACAATATTAGCAACAGTTTCCAACAAGACTGCTAGTGCTACTTTTATGAAAAATTACTAATTTTTAAATACTTTTAAAAAATGCATTACCAATAGTAAAACTACTATAAATCAATTAACGAATGTAATCAAGCATGAGTAATGCTAACTATAATTCTCTGCAACTTGAAGCACTTCTCTTAGGTGATATCTTGCTAAGAAAGATAACAATGTAATAAGCATCAAAGATGGTGAATGTCTAGTTCAACAAACATCTCACCTGGATACTAACCCCAAAACTTTTTTGCAATTGTTGAATAGTCCTTTAATATACTGTCTGGAATTTAATTAATTAAACATTGTTCAAATTCAAATGTCTATCATATGTAAAAGTGTTGATACCACTTTATAATGCCTTGGTAAGACCACACTTAGAATACTGCATCCAGTTTTGGTCATCACGATGTAAAAAANGAGGAGGAGGAAGAGGAGATGAAGAAGAGGAGGAGGAGAATTAGGAAGAAGAAGAGGAGAAGGAAGAAGAAGAGGAGGAGGAAAAGGAAGAAGAGGAGGAGGAGAAGAGGAGGAGGAAGAGGAGATGAAGAAGAGGAGGAGGAGGAGAATTAGGAAGAAGAAGAAGAGGAGAAGGAAGAAGAGGAGGAGGAGAAAGAGGGGAGGAGGAGAAGAGGAGGAGGAGGAGGGTTAGGAAGAAGTGGAGGAGGAGAAGGAAGAATAAGAAGAGGAGGAGGAGGAGGAACAAGAAGAAGAAGAGCAGCTGTTCATATAAATGAGGTAAAGTATTCCTGCTTTTAAAAACAGCATGGAACAGAGCATAGTAAAGCAATGAGATCCTGAGACTTCAATAAATTTTCAGCATTCAAATCACTGCAAAGTGAGACGGTTACCGCACAGAGGAACCGCAACTCTTTTTAGTAATATGTACCTAAAAATAAATATCGTGTCTCCTAAGCACATATGTACTAAGCTGTTCTTGGCTTTCCTAGCTTCCCTCTGAGATAACTAGTTTAATTCAAACACAGTCTTTACCTGAGAGCCGTCTGGGCACATCGGTGATGGCAGGAAGCCCTGTACCTCGTGTGGAGGACAAGGGAGTTGTGGAATGAATGGATGGTGAAGTCATCTGGCTCAAATATGATGGGTAAGACTGGTCATAGGACCATGGAGGGGATGACTGTGCTTGTCTGGGGTCTAAAAACAAAACAAAAGAGAAAATAATTTAAAATGAAAGACAGGAACAGTTGCTGGAGACAGAAAGTCTAAGTACGATATGTAAGATGGGAACATATGAGAAGAACTCGAAGCACTGGGTCTTTTTCTTCCCTTTTTACTATTCAGAACTGACAACATCAGGCTGACTCCTGAAACTTGAAACTAACGGCATTCATGTAAAATGCAGCCCAGTTTGATTTCAGAGAGGCTTTTGAGGACTGAAGCTGAAAGATATGTCCTATGAAAGACTGATCAAATGCTTTCCAATAAGAAGAATAACTTCCAGATTAAAATTTGATGAAGGAGATAAAGGAAGTTAAATAGCTGCTGTTAAAACAATTGTTACTGATGAAGGTCCAGAAGTTAGGAAATCTGATGTTAAGAATTTTCAAGGACATGGGAAATGGAAGAGCCACAGCAGAAATAATTCTAAAATCAGAGAAGGGACTTCAGGATGCTGGATGATTTTATTTCAGAACTATGGTAACGGTTTTCAGTTCTTTAGACTTTTATTATTCCAAGCTTTATCTGGAAAAAATTATTACTAGTGAAACACATATTAGAATCTTAGATGTTGGAGATAACATAAGCCAAAGTGGAACACATACACAAACATACACAACAAATAAACACACATACCAGGAAATATTAAAATACTGCTCTGGGGAACGCAATAGCATAACTAATACTATTCTATAATACTGACTGTATTTATAATAGACACACAGTGAAAAAAATTTCAATTTGCCTTATGACACAAACTTGTCATGGGGCGAGATAATATATTAAAAAGAAAAGGTTCCTATAAAAATTCTTTTATGTATCTTTTAAAACTAGAACTAGCAACAGTTTAATGTAATTTACATTGTTCCTTATCAAACCAAGGGTGTGCACTCTCTCTCTCTCTCTCTCCGCTAATTTACATTTTTTGAAGATTCCTTTCTTATTGCTAGAGAATCAATAACTTTACATTGAAAATGTGATTATATGAAGAACATTGGAACAAAACTTATGTTATGCAAGACATTTATATATAACTTTGCAAGGAGAAGACCTCTTTTCTATAACCCCACTATGGAAACCACAGAATTAGGGATGTAAGCGACAGAAAACCAGACCTTATTGAAATAACTTCCTAATTATAGGAGCAATGTGACAGTGGAACCAATACCTAGAGAGAAGGTATTGGGTTCTCCATTACTGGGAGGATTCAGAACAGATGTTGGCCAACTATCAGGTGTTTGGGGGCTGTTCCAACTCTCTGATTCAATGATTCTAGCCCTTATTACATTGCTAGTTCCTGCTACTAACTTTACAGTGTGTTAGTGAAGATGTCATATTTCCTATTTCCTTCTGTATGTATGTGGTTTGGAAGGGATGGGAAATTAAACTAATTTCAAAAGAGAAATGCCAACTTTAGGAATAAACAGAAAATCAGAGGTATGCCCATTTGCCAGATTTGAATGCATTTGTAAAGTAAAAAAAGTAGTATTCCTATACAAAAAATATAAGAAGTTAATTTATCCAATGGAACCATATGATCTATCTAGACTCAATGATTCCTAAACTGGGGGCAACTTGGATATATCCTGGGCTAATGGAACAATTTGTACTTGCTTGTTTATAATTTGAGAATATAATTGGAGATAGATGCTTATGTAAAACAAGAATATGTTGGGGGGGGTTATTACATTATCTGAGACTAGGAAAAGGATAGTCATTCACGCCCTCGTCACCTCAAGACTGGATTACTGTAACGCACTCTACATGGGGCTGCCCTTGAAGAGCGTTCAAAGACTTCAGTTAGTACAGATTGCAGCCATGTGGGCGATTGTGGGTGCACCTAGGTACACCCANTCTCAAGTACCCAGGTCCAGTTCTAATATTGCCACCCCTCCCTAGTCCCATGACTGCATTTT